TTTGGGTTGGGTTGGGTTGGTTTAGTTTGGTTTGGGTTGGGTTGGTTGGGTTTGGGTTTGGGTTTGGGTTGGGTTGGGTTGGGTTGGGTTGGGTTTGGGTTGGTTTGGTTTGGCCTATCAGGTTTAGAGGATGGCAAGGGTACCCCCAGTGGCACAGTAGTTAAGTAATTGATTGCTAATTACTAGGTTGGTGTCTGGAACTGTTTCAGGGTACAAAAGAGACCCCAACCTCCGATATAATTTAAGGAGAGCATTTATGAAGGCTTAAAAGAGCCAAAGACAACACAAAGGCACAGATAGACATGAGGAGGGCCATAACCATGAAGTCATAATAGCACCCAGGGATTCATGGTCTCAAGACACTAGTTAAATAAAGGAGGGAACATTGGAAATTCACACGTTTGTGACTGCTGGCAGATCAATGCACCACAGTTACTTATGTGACAGTGATTGAGACACTTATGTTATGAAAGAATCTAAGTTCTAGCACAGTGCTTCTCAAGCTCCCTAATGCCACGACCCTTTCATACAGTTCCTCATGTGGTGGTGACCCCCAACCGTAACATTATTTTTGTTGCTACTTCATCATTGTAATTTTGCTACTGTTATGAATGGGGCGACCCCGGTGAAAGGGTCATTCGACCCCCAAAGGGGGTGGTGACCCATAGTGAAAAGAATGTACAAGATTAACCCAGAGCCACCTTCCGAATGAAGCAGTCAGGTGACTGATAAAGCATGCTTTATGACTGTCCATCAAGCACACACCCAGCTAAGCCCCTCAGTGACCCCTCCCCTGGGCTGGCTAGAGAGGAGTGGAGGTAATCTGCTTTGCAAAACACTCTGCTTGAGGGCAAGGTTATCTACACCTTTGGTTGATGATCAGAAGGAATTCAATGGAGGCGTAATCTATGTGTGGACTCCATTAAACACCAACCACTCCTTGCCAGTAAGTCAATTCTGACTCAGGGCCACCCCACAGGACAGAGAGAATGTAAGTTCCTGAAACAGAACCAGGTAGAATCGCTGCTTTGGAACAATGGTGCTTGAGAAGAATACTGAAAGTACATGGACTGCTAAAAGCACAAACACATCATCTGTCTTGAAAGGAGTACGTCCCCGGAGTACTTCTTAGAGGCAAGGATGGCAAGACTTTGTCTCATACCCATTAGACACGTTGGCAGGAGAGAGGAGTCCCTGCAGAAGGACCTCATGCTTGCTAAAGTGTGTAAGCAACAAAGAGGAAGGTCCTTAACACGAGGAATTGACACCAAGGCTGCCACAGTGGGCTCAGGAACTACGAAGCCGCAGTGCTTTGTTCTGTGGTGCACAGGGTCCTGAGAGCCTCGAGGGCACCGAACCCCAGAACATGCCAGCTGAGAAGACCCTAGTGTGATCTGTCCCTGTAAAAATGGCAGTCACGGAAATCCTGAAAGTCATTTCCACTGAGTCGCCTTGCATCTGAAAAGACTGACAATAAACCAGAATACCAAACTCCCCGCCATCGACTCGTATCCACCTACTGTGGGTTTCTGAGATTCTAGCTGTTTACGGGAGTAAAGAGCCCAGTCTTTTGCCCCAGGAGTGGCTGGGTTTGGGTTTGGGGGAGGATTGGATGGTGAGGTGGGAAACATGACATGACTTGTGGTCCTGCGGCAAGAAAACAGCTAGTTGACGTGGAAGTGGTCTGACTCCTGAGTTTTCAGAAGCAGATCAATAGGCCTTCCATCTGAGGTGGCTCTAGGGGACAGCCCTTCGAAGGGAGCATCAGGAAGCAAATTCACAGTTGGTACCCCCATAGGTTCATGGAGTGTTTTGTTGTTGTTGTTTTGTTTAATTTTATTGGGGGCTTCTACAGTTCTTATCACAATCCATCCATCCATCCATTGTGTCAAGCACATCTGAACATATGTTGCCATCATCGTTTTCAACAAATTTTCTACTTGAACCCTTGGTATCAGCTCTTCATTCTTTTCTCTCCCTCTCCCATCTTCCCTCCCTCCCTCATGAACCCTTGATAATTTTTTTCCCCTTGTCTTACACCAACAATTCTCTTCCTTCACCCATTTTTCTGTTGTTCACCCCCCTGGGAGGGTGGTGGTGGTTCTATGTTGATCACTGTAATTGGTTCCCCCTTTCTCCCCACACCTTCCCACTACCC